AAGCTCCTATGAATATGCTGTGTATGATAAGAAAAATAACCATATATTACATAGTAATATTTTATTTATGAAATCAAGGTCGAAATGACAAGATCATGCAAACATCGTCACTTTTTCCAAAGAGATCATTAGTGGAGCAAATATCAGTCAAAATTTTATGGATTTTCACGCAACGTTCCTGATTCTGGAGAGTGATATCAGTCTTGTAATAAATACTTTGGCAAGTCTTGATATGTGTATTTTAACTGATAACCTTTCGTTGGAATTGTAGAACCTGAAACATTTAACAGACATTTTTTTATACTGGATTATTGTGAAACGTTTAAGGACACGTTTGGGATTTCATTTTCTTTGGAATTATATTCAATTCAAGTAAAAATATATAGGTATTAAAACAACGATTCGTATGTCTCTCTCTGAACCAACGCAGTTCGATGAGATGCAAAACAACTACAAACAAAACAAAACAACAACAACAAACCTCGTACATTATTTGTTACAGAAAAACGAAGCTGACGGGTTCTTTAATCTCTGTCACCCAATAAAGGTGCTGCAATGTAAAATTTTATAACCAAGCTTGCACGCAAGTGGATATAACTGGTTCACAGAAACGCACTCATTCAGAACTTGTATTGCCATTGGTTTAGGCCCTAAATTAGTTAAGAGATTTGTACCATCGACAGATGATACTTTAATAAATACCACATACAATGTTAAAGTAGAGATTTTTCAATGAGTTTCATGTTGGACTTCACGCTAAGCGACATACTGCTATGATCATTAAAAAATATATTAGAATGGTTCAATGATAGTCTTTCAAAAAACAAATTTCCAAAGATTACACTAATGAGAAAATTTGGCTACCAGGCAATCCAGTAGATATATACAGTGAGAAACTAAAAGGCAAAACAGTGATATGAACTAGTGATCAGTCAGTACCATTTATATTCTCTTATAAGTCGAGTAAAACAGCAAACGACAAAGATCTTGATATACCGCAGTATAATACGTCATACAATCAGGGCCTATCTTGTTTCTTCTAGTGACTACTCTTTACAAAATGCACAGATCGTGTTCTGCTCGTGCATTATTGGTCTGTACATTTTGCAGCTGGACCCGACTAATAAGTGAGCATTAACGGTACGTCAACATTTCTTCAATATAGTATTATTTTTCATATTTTGTCTATTTATCTGTACATGAAATAACATTATATGTTCTAAAACCATATTAATGGCACAAATTTGTCAAAGAGGTTGAAACAAACTGTCTTCATATTACAAATTTAAACTTAAAAAAAAACATAAAATGAACCACAAGAAAACTCGATAAGTTTTTTACATATCAATGTTTAATTAGAAACTTTTTATTTTTTTATTTATTATTTATTTATTTATTTATTTGTATCGTTATGGCTAAAAATGCCATATTACGTCACATATTTATCTAGAAAAAGCACCAGATATGTCATTGAAAGAAAAAAAGCAATAATCTCTATCACACACACATACACACACATAAATGTTTCTCCTTTTCTTTCTTTGTTATGCATTAAAGTCATGTATACACTTTCGTGTTTTATGACTATTAGCCCTGAAAAGGGCTAGTGGCCTCCCTCCCTTTCGGGGCCGGGCTCACCTGTGTCTAGTGCTGACACTTTTGTCAAAGCCCCGGGCTGGGCTGCGTTTCTTCCGGGGGGAGCTTGTAGTCCCGGTCTGGTCTACTTTCCCCTCGGAAGGACGCAGGGCCTCAGAGCTTGGCCCCTATCTGACCCTTAAATTAGACCTTTCCCATTCAGAACTTCACCAGTCGCTCCTAAAACGTTAGACCCGCAAACTACTCTCCCTCCCCCTCCCCCCCCGCTACTCCCCCACACCAAAGCCCAAAGAAGATAACCCCCTAACTTTATTTCAGTTAGGGGGTTTATTGGTCAAATGTAACCAATTTTGCCTACTGGTATCCTTATATCAATAGTGTGTTAGCCACCTGTGCAATTGTCCTAATGAGCCTGAGATGTGAATTTGGAATAAAGATTTGTAATTGGAATTTTGCGTCCTTATCTGTTTCCAGAGCGATATTTACTTAGTTTACAACCACATTTGCATAAACACGTTGCAGATTTGTCTCAGTCGACCTATGATATACTACCTATAGTATATCACAGACCAATTACCTTTGACTAGCTCGCTAATTCATCTAAAGAACTTCCGATGTTGTCAGTTCAGTAGTAGGGGCGTGTTTCTCTCAAAACGTCAGACTAATTGTCCTTGAAGGGCGTAAACTGTCCCAGAGGCCCATTTTTAGGTCTGATACCTCAAGGTATATGTACTTACTTGACATGATAAGTTCACTGAGTATGCAAGTGTGAAAGGTCAATAATCTCACTAGTATACTGAATTATCTAAAGTACAGAAAGTTTTGTAGCCTTTCTTAAAGCGTATTATGCACACCCCTTCATATTGGCATGCACTCACATTTTATATATTCACATTTTGTATATTTCCCTTACAATAGGCACGTTGAAGCTTGCAAACATTGGGAAAAATGAAAGTAAATATTGTTTCAAAACTTCATTTATTTTATTTCGTTGTTGCAATAAATGACATGTCACTAACTTCCAGTCATACGGAAATGTTTAGTTTACTTCGTGCTGTATTATTTTCCATATCCCAAGGTTGTAATTTTACAAGACAAAAACTTAGAGTATATGCCATAAGGTTTTGTATTTTTGTACTTTAAACAGTATGCTTTAGAAATGCTGATTTATGCGTGAGGTTTGTTTTTGAATTATAACTTACTAACAGAAAACAAAATAACGTCCGTAAGCTGTTATACTTATGTATTCCGCTGTAGCGTTTTGATGCCTGACATACGATGTGTTCGCCTTGAATCAAGCTGAAATTAAAAAAAATAAGCGTACAGTATACACTTGCCTATACAAAGGCTCCAAATGTAACACGTATAGATCAGGATTTGTAAATGGATTATGCTCTACGTATATACAGTTCATAAGGATTAATCAGTAGAACAAACAACATAAACCCTGATTTGTCGGAATATTATGCAAAGGCTGATCAGGATTAATGATGTTTGTAAATGGGGCCGACTTATAAGCGAGTTTAAGCGTATGTTTTGATTTAAATTATTGACTGTCGTATAGTCACGTATTGTCATCAGCACCATTTGATAAAAGCTTGTACAGTGATACAATTATTTCATAACGTTTCTTTCCATTATATATATTAAATTAGTGTGAATTAATTATCCTTGGATAATGCGTTATTCCAACACAGTTGAAGCTTTAAAACAAATGGATTTTCACGAAGTTTCATCACGTATTTTTTTCACTCTGTTTTTACATGCCAATTTACCTTTCCTCTCCATTTTCTTTACCTTCACTCTGTTCTATTGGCATGTTTCAGTCTCTCATACATTTTAATTTTGGCTCATAAAATAGTGTGATTGCCAGATGTTGTGGAACACACCAAACCATCCATTTGGAGGTGTAACCGAACCACCCAACTGGAGGTATTCATCTGCTTCATGATAACGCATCGGCAAAAATGCTGCCATCATGACATACTTCCTAAAGGAGTACAGCATCCAAACTTTGTCACATCTTCCAAACAGCAAGAAAAAAGACTTCAGATATCTTGAGATAAAAATAAACCATGCATACACACACAAACACACACACACACTCACACACACAAACACACACACACACACATACACACAATGACTAAACAGTGAAGAAGGGAAAGAGAAGAACTCAACAGAAATTGTACATCCGTGGTTATACAATTTACACATTTTGGGATAGTTCAGGGATGTTTGTTGCTAGGTTTGTTGTTTCACGGCTTAGGGACACATGTAGGTTATTTAGTACTGCGGGAACGAGTAAAACGCCTTACCGAGGAAAACTGTACCAGACCTTCCAGGTGCCTCAGCGGACCAAACCAATGCTTGTCCAATGAGAACGTTGCCGTTGAAATTTCGACGTCGTATGTCAAGAAATCCAATATCACTGGTTAGATCAAACTGCGTGTCCTTAAAGTTCCATTTTCTAGATCGAGATTTTAGATTTTTTTTATGTTGAAGTATACATTGGTTGTTTTAAAGTTTTATTTCTAATGTCAACGTTTTACAGTCTATATTTGGATTACACAGCAGTGGTTAAAGTTTCAAATATCATATGTCGAAAATCCCTAATTTACACGTTGCATGCAATTGTTGGTGATGAAAGTTCCATTTCACATGGCGAGTATTTTGATTTCATCTGCTGAATTTCACAGCAACAAGAAGCGACATCTAGCGAAGAAATTCATATTAATTTTCAACATGTGAATGGTAACTTGCAAACTATAAATGCATGAAATGCAATGTTACCTCATAATTGAATAAACCAATGCTGTATCTTAACACTCGATATTATTTTGAATTGTTAATGTGGACATTGTGTAACGTTACTTTAACATCAACACATCATTTCACTAAATAAAAATAATAGTTCTGATAAACTCAATAAAATGTCCAATCACCGCTGTATATATATAATTAATTCAACAGATACAATTTCACAACATACGACATGGAACTTTTTTCACAATCAATGTGATTCAACACGTTAAATTTAAACTTTCAACATATAACATTAAAATTTCAATAACCACCGTGTAATACTGCAACAGATGAAATCTAAATGCTCTATATATGAAAAGGAACTTTCAACATAAACTCTTTGAACCAATACGTAAATTAGAAATTCTCGAATTGAAATTTCAACCACGGCCATGTAAATAAAAAGACAAAATTTAAAACCTTGACATAGAAAATATAACTTTCAACCACTACTGTTAACTTCAACAGATACAATCTAAAATCTCGACCTAGAAAATGGAACTTTAAGGAAAATCATTTTTGATACAACACATAAAATTGGAATTCTGGATATATGACATTAAAATTTCAACGGCAACGTTTTGATTGGACAAATAACCGCTCTGGTGGCCTAAGTGGTTAGAGCGTCCGCCTCGGATGCGGGAAGGTCGTGGGTTCAAACTTCGGCCAAGTCACACCAAATACTGTAAAAAATGGTATTAACAGCCGCCTCGCTTGACGCTCAGCATTCGGGGGTTAGTGTTAGGACTTGACGGCCTGGTGTTAGAATAATGTGACTGGGTATGACATGCTACATCTCTGCGGCATGATGCCATAGTGCTAACATCACTATAAACTGTCAAACTGCAGACATCGTAGCGATATCACTGAAAAATTATTATAGCAAAGTTAAAAATCTAAATCACACACACACTGATTGGACCAGCCTTTGTCCGCTACGACGCCTCATACCAGACCCATGCTAATCCTATGGCAGCATTCGAAACATCGCCTTTTAACTGACACGCTAACCAACTTACCCATTGCGGGTTCTACCTCTGTTACTCGCCTCTTACTGCATGGTGCCTCGAATCTACTCTACATATCTGAGCCCACAGAGGTTAATTTCCGGAAGTGGAGAAAAAGATAACGAAAACAAATTAGGTGTGATTACCACAAAACAATAATGTTACTGTAAAAGAAAAACAAGTCAATTATCTGGAATGGGGTGAAAACATACTTTAAATTTATATAAAATTAAAAGAAATTGTTAAAATTTTTCTATGCATTTTGCCTTTGTGAAAAATATTTGTACTTTTATGTAATGACAATGAGTGACGACGTATATATCTTCATTCAATTAAATGTGTTAAGGGATGACAAATACCCTTCCGACGGAAACGTCGTGTCTTATATTGTGTCTTATAAACTGTGGTTGAAGGTATGCTTTTCCAACAGTGATTTCAGTTCAGTTTTGATTGTAAATGGCGTATATCTGAATTATTGGAAAAGAGCCCATAGCGTGTTCTGTGTTGACAGGAGAGCTTGATTAAAACTTTAGTTAGTAAAGTATGTACTATCTGAAGCACTACTAAAATTAGTGACCTTTAACCTTCCCATCTAAGTTTCGCTCTCTGCGGGAGTACCTGCAAACATTTCGCTTACGGATGTGAACCCATCAAAGTACAGATTTATCAAGGTAATTACTTGAAATTGACAAATTTCTCCGGCTAATAGAGCAAAAATTAATTAAGAAAAAAAGGAATTAATTACCAAACACGATAATAATGGGTGTCAGGAGTTTAATTTACGGGGTTCGACCAAAGCGAAGCCAATGCGTGTTAATCTGAATAGACCGCTTTCAACGGCAGATCGTTGTCTTGTATCGGTCATTTCACTGTCAATTAATGACTTTATCCTGAGGTAAAGCAGTACACCTTTTGCTTTGTGGAGCAGTCGCATGGGGATCGCATGTCAGGCTTGGCGTACACAAATCCTCCCATTTGCAAGTGACATGGTTCTGCAAATTTCGGATTTCCTGTTTGTTGTGAATTAAACAGTTGTATGTATATAAAATGTATATATGTTGTATGTATCTAAAATATATTTTGTTTGTATCTCAAACGTATGTTGCATGTATCTAACATGCATGTTGTAGATGTATCAAAAATTATTTTTATGTATCTCAAATGTATGCTGTATGTATCTAAAATGTATATTCGTCCGTCCTTGAAATTTGACAAAAATGTCCAAGTTTAGTGATACAGAGAGGATGTTTTCTAAACAAATACATCTTCAAATTGAGAAGATAAAATCTAGTTATCGACACTTCGTCAAAGGATATTTGGTAGACACTGACAGTTTGTCAACATCAGAAAATTATCAGCATCTAGACTGTGTCGTAAAGGATCAACTTTTACAGCGCCCGCACGCCTCTAGTCATTACATTACCTAAGGTTTGAAGCCCTAGACCCATCTGACATTCAGGACACATCGTCAACCTTGTTCACGTTGACTGTGACTGGATTGTCAACGCATACTGAAAGAAGTATGAAAAATAAAACCATGATGTGTTCTGGATGCACACAGAGACATATATATATATATATATATATATATATATATATATATATATATATATATATATATATATATATATATATATATATATACACACACACATACATACATACATACACTGTAATGAATATTGTTAGTCACAATGACTGATACTATTTTCAGTCCTTGCTTCAATCAAGTTTGTTTTTATAAATACAGTACATCTGAAATTGAATATGAATTATAACGTTCACGTACAAAGCATATGAATTATAATTATCTCTAATGTCTATGGACTGGCAAACTATCAGCAATCCTGGCAACCATCTTAACATGCGCAACCTATTTTCGAGGGACAGGGTCTTTTGGTAAAAGGTCTTTGAAAGTTTTTTATAAAGTTTTCAGAGTGTACTATTTAGCCTATCTGCTACACATATTACGCTCTTATGCTATTAGTATTTGTAGCTTATGTTAAATGCCTACAAAGCCATCTCGAAAAAAATCCATATAATGGTAGCGCTCTACAGTTTTGTATTTAGCATAGGTTAGAATTTTACAGAAAAAGAGTTTCCCCGGGTTTCCTCACTAGTTATACTGACTATTTAAAAAAGACTTTGTATATCTTAAGTATTGTTCAAAGAACCTTTAATTCCATTTATTTTGGTGTATGATTGATGTGTAATATGAGTTAGAGAGTATACAGCTTGGCCTTACTCCAGATGTGCATCTTTCAAAAATGTGCTAGCTCCACTTGATCATTTTCACTGCTTGAACTTCAGAGGTAAATTGTAGAAAAAAGAGCCGATAACCTTTGTTTTTACATTTTATATATTTGGTAATTCATTCATTGCACTTTTAGAAGCTGGTATTGTTTAGTTTAGCAAAATTCATTTTCCCTTTTTTAATAGCTGCCAAGAATAGTGTACTTTAGGCAAATTCAGGTTGAATTTTGGAGCACAAGGGAGCAGTCATTTTAGTTAGCAATGTACTAAGATCATTTAAAATGTCCAAAAGTACAATATCCAAAGAAATTTCAGCCATATTACACGAAAGTAACATATAGGTATGCCAACATTCTCTCCACTGTGCATGTTTAAAATGTAAACAAGTTCACCTTACACTGTTGGTCAGACAACTGATAAGTACATACGGCGCCAGAATTCAAAGTGACAGAGAAAAGCAAAATGTCGTGTTAGTACATTTTGGATCTTTAAAAATAGATTATTTCAATATCAAATAAACATGAATAATGGATTTTCCAACAAAATAGATTGTAACAGTTGTCTCCCACCACATCCGACAGCCTCCACCATCCAGTTTGTTATATTACAATTACAGAATCTGGTTATACACAGTAAATATATATCTTGTTTATTTTGTATAGCTATTATTTATTTATTTATTTATTTATTTATTTATTTATTTATTTATTTATTTATTTATTTATTCATTCATTTTTACGAATCATTAAACATTGTAAAATTGTTTTTGATTTTATGTTGATAATATAACCCCTCTTCTATCGCCCCAGCCCTTTACACAACACTCTCTTTACAACTATATGTAGCACCCTTAATGACCAAAAGCAGCATTACATGATATAATATATATGCAATAAACTGACGACGAACAGTGCTAGACTAGTATCTAACCAGCCTGAGCTCTTTCGACTTTTAATGAGTCTTTTTCAAAGGTGTGATGTGTCGAATTTTGAAAACTCTTAGATGCTTTGTTTAAAGGAATTGTATCAAAGTCAACTTAATTAAAGTAGAAAGGGCTAGAGATAGAAGATTATTTTCATTTAATCTCTGAACGTCAAATGGGAATTCGTTCTAGCCGACGTAACATGACCGAGTCAGATGCTATGGTACAAGAGAATGACATAAGACCTTTCCCCAAAATCGGCAGGGTAAAGGCGGCATCTGGCTATAGATGATAGCTCGAAGTAAATGATTAATTACGGCATGATTAGTTGTTTAGTTTTCTTGTCAATCCAAACATTCTATGAACAGGTTTAGGAAACTGTCTATTCCGATTGGTTAATATGGATTTATGGGCGTAACTCTGTAAGAAATTAAAGGTTTTACTTTAGGGAAATTCTTTAGTCGTCTTCGATCTTTCGCAAGGAAAGTTAGTATGACTCCGAAATTCGTAGAAAGTACGTTTTCGTTATTGAGTAAGGGGCCGGATAGTTCTCTCAGTTAGGAGACGGATTATACGTGAGGTTCGTGGAAACATATAGAAACGGCAAAAGGTACGCAATCTTAGTTTCCCGATTTTAATATGTTATTTCATTTGTTGATCTATTTTGCAAATGTATTCTTGATATGGTGTATGTATGTATTAATTCATTTTTCAGGATTTTAGTGAAATGCTAGTCATGACATTTTATTCTTTGATTTCCTAATTATCAATTCATTTGGAGAATTGGCAAGATTGAATGTAATTAAAATTTCATTAGATTAGTTGAAAAGATTGCATGTAATTGAATCTTGAATACATATGAGTGATTAGGAATTTAAATGAATTAAGTTTAAGGAATGATGGGTAATATTTCATAGTTTTATGGATTAACTCTGTCTAAAATGAGTATGACCTAACATTACATGTATATTCATATACTAGTTTGTAATATTTAATTGATCACTTAAGTGTATTACATTACATGTATATTCATATGCTGGTTTGTAATATCTAATTGGTCGAGTAAACTATTTTAGAATAGTTAGGTCTGAGGGTCTAAGCATATGTAACTTAAGACTGCTAGATTGGTAGAGTCAGCAGTCGAGTGGGAGTTACATACGGGTTCATACGGCTGAGTTGAATTTAATTGACCATCCCTAGCGTGACCCGAATTAAGGTCAGGACAAGCATCGGCCGTTTATGTAAACATAACAGTTAACTAACAGAAGTTACTGCGGCAGAATTTATGACTTTTGTTTTCGGAGCCGAATTAATGTAAAATATAGATATACTTGGGAATGTGACCTATGGTCTATTGCGAGACATTTTTATTTATTGAAGGAAACAGCTTTCCTGGATTCACATGAGAAATCCCTGAACAATCACAGGACGAGAACAAGATCTACGCAGAAATCTAAGTCCAGAGACGATTGTTAAGTCAGAGTTCGACGGA